AAGAAAAATCCCTTCAACCTCCTTCCAAAGACACTGACTTTCTAGCCTAAATCGCTGACTAACTAAAGTCTTCTAAGATAGCTATGGGCTACTAGCCATGACGTACCCTACAGCTCTTTTGAATCACTTTTTTTTTAACAGAAAGCTTAATTACAGGGCCAACAATTCTTCCTAGCTTTACAAGATGCTATTATAAGAGAGAATCTCTCACCCCCAAACTTAAAAAGAAGCATTGTCCTCAATACTGAAAGAATGACATTTAAAAACTAAGGACAATGTTCCCCAAACTTATAATGAAGATAGGATGGATGAAAACTGGATTTGAGTGACTTCCTATCTGAATTGGTTATATAGGGGTAAGTAGTGGCTTATTTTCTAAAGAATTTAGCTTGCTAACAGTGCATGGGAAGAGAAAATCAGCCATGAAATTCAGCTTTGGTGATGTTTCTAGGGGTCGCAAGGGATACTAAGCAAGGCAAGGCTAGGCTATCAAATGCTACTAAAGAACACATTAGAGAAAGGGCACTGACTGGATTTTTCCTTTCTAAACCTAGCCAAAGCAAGCATCCTAAATATGTCCATAGACCAGTCATCTTAGACCACATAGACAATCAGCCAAAAATACACAAGCTAGCAGATCTAACAACATCTTGCACAATCATTCATTCATTTGAATTTTCATTTAATCGACTGAATGGAAATCATAACAACCTAAAAACTAAAATTTAAGGATGCAAAAACTAAACATTGAAACTTCATAAAAACCTAACTAGAATCAAAAATACATAAAAGTAAATTTTTCTGAAAAGAAGAAATTAAAGGTAAAACAGGTTTCAAACGGGGAAATCAACTCCCCTGTTCAGCTTCTTCATCATCTTCACTGGGGCCGCCCATAGGCTAAAATGCTCCAACACTATCCACTTCCTCATCTTCGTCAGGCCTGTCTTCTAGAAATCTTGGGAAAGGAGGAAAAGGGCAGGAGAAATTTCGCATGAGGGCCTTACGGATCACGACGTCTCTCTCTTTTGCATAACGCATGTAGGCTTGTTGTTTTCTCGCCATTGCCGTTACTACTCCTGTAATGGAGCCGAGCTGCTACATACAAGCTGGCCTGTGTGTTTGAGACTTCTTTAAGCGCAAAGATAACATTTCCTCCACACTTGCTGTGATCAACGGCCTTCAACCTCTCAATTATCACCTCATTGATGACACCCTTATCCTTCAGCATTTGATCTGCCTCTTCCATCTTGACTCCCGAGAGGATACAAAGCTCTATGATCAGATTGGGGAAATATAGGTTTCCCTACTTCCTCTTCTCAACCCCTGTAATCTCTCTTTCAATGAGTCGCCCAACATTGATGCTAAGACCTTCCATAATGCAAAACAGGAGGAGAACCCTAATGGGATGTGAATCCTAGAGCAGAAGCGGACCATCGTTCATGATTTATTGAGAAAACAAAACCAAACGTGCAAAGAAGAAAATACAGGGGAAACTTACATTTGAAGAACTTTTCTTCAAAGATTTCCACCCGAACACCACCACTGAATTGTTTGAGCTATCCTCTTGGGCCTCGAGAACACGCTTGTGGGAGCGTTTCTTTGGAACGAGTGGGAGAATTGAGAGAGATTGAGTGAGAGAGATGTTGGGACTTCTTTCTTTGTTATCCCTATTCTGTATCTTTTCAGAACTGCAAAATGGAAGAGATAACAAAGAGACAGTGACGTGAGGAGTTACCCCACGTCACTTAACTGCCCACCCCCCTGCAATTTTGCAGGGGAGTTTAATATTAATAATTAATATATATATAATTAATCATATTCATTAATAAATGTTAATTAATTATTAATCTAATTAATAATTAATATATATATATATATATCAAATAATTAACACTTAATTATTTATCACATAAATAGAATCATATTCTATAGCATTTCTCTCGTATAACCTATAATTCTAATGTACATCTTATGCACATTATTTTTAACCTATAGTTTTAATATGAATCTTATTCATATTAATTTTATTTGAATCTCATTCAAATAATTTCTCTCATAATATATAGGTTTAATTTAGAATTAACTATATATTATAATGTATCAATATACATATAATCCCTTAAGTAATTTGAACGGTTCAAATTCTTCCAAAAACCTGATCCTCGTTTTACCTATTATGAGCTAGCAAAAGACCTAATGGACCTACAGATCAGAAGCTCCAACGATACGAGATTAATCGGTCAAACTCATTGATCAAGTTAATCAACATTCGTTAACTACGGGTCACTCCACTAAAGACCCGCAGTTGCACTCTTCTCACTGCATAATGTTTTCATGTCCATGGATATACGACCATTAATGACCAGTCAATCCTTCACGAGTTCTCGTAACTCAAGTTGGGTCAAATTACCGTTTTACCCCTGAGTTACATCTTACTCCTTAAATACCACTGCTCCTCTAATGAATAACTCGGTTATGGTCCGACCAATAACCGGAAGTCCCTCTCGGGCCAATGAGATGGTGGGGCCCCTTGTTGAAGTCTCGGAGTCAGCATTTAAGAGAACACTCATCTACTCCCCTAAAGTCAGGGAGGAGTGAATTCCATCTTGTGAAGTTATGTTTCCAGCTCCCCACTCGGTCTCGTCCCTAAAATGGTAGGAATATTGAGTCGGAAACTCGGGCCACTCTCACCCATATAGATCAAAGAACGAGCCCTCAAGGGCAAGAGTCCATAACTCACTCATCCTATGATACCCTCTCATTGTCTATTTCGCAGTCCGGTCTTATACAAATTCATTGTCTATTTCGCAGTCCGGTCTTATACAAATTCATTGTATAGGATACCCTCACTCGCATGTCTCCACATGAACGACCTGGATCGAGTCGTCTGTAACATTTACAAAGTGGGCCGTATCCATAGTCTTGTCAGTATAAGGTACCCAGCCTTATCCATATACTATATACCCTTTAGGTTATTCACGGGATATTATCCACTCGTATATCAGAGGTATATCAAATATATACCTCGTATATCAGGGGTATATCAAATATATACCTAGTATATCAAATATATACCCAATATATATATTGTCCCGGTTACATGATAATAACCTTGGATGTTTAGTTTATTGGATTTTGGATAATGCAATGCTATGAATTCAACAAAAAATTTATTGAATAAAACTTTATTGAATATACATTTGGTTTTTACATAATTACAAACTACGAGTTTAGGGCAACACACCCAACAAACTCATTCCTTTGTGATGGAAGTGTCATGCATTGTGGGCATGAGCTTGCTTTTAACGAGATGATACCAGACGTTGGCTTCAGGCTTAAGGTAATCTGGGAGGAAAATCTGCGCTCCTCTGGGTAATAGATGCCATCTTGACCCTTCTACTCCAATACATTTCATGGCTCTATTTAGTTGCTCCTCAGATGGAGCAACCATCATCTCATTAAAAGTTGCATGAGAGTAGTTGGGGAGATTGTATACCTCGTTGATGGCCTCTGCGTTCCAGCAGACTTTCTTACCCCGCACCGTCACATTGGAAGGATCACTCGAGATGAGGTTGGCGTAGAATTCTTGAACAATTTGGACGATCGCAGGCTTGGGCTGTGCGCATAAGGTTTGCCACTCATGCTTATTGATGGTGGTGGAGACAAAGGAAGGCATGGGTGAGTCAGATGGAAAGCCCCTTTCTCCTAGTAGATTTCGGTACTTGAAGCTTTCAAACCGTTCTGATGCTGCAGCATCGACGAAGCGCAAAAATTTTGAGGGTGCTGCAGCAACCTTCTTTTTCCCCTTTTTCCTAGCCTACATGTCCACCTTCTGCTTGGGCCTCTTCCCTTGTTCTGTCTCAGCAATTGGGGAGAGTATCCTCTTTCTCTGCGATTTCCTTGTGGGCACCGGAGCTGCTGCTTCCCTGCCTTCTGTTTCTTCTTGCTCTTTGTCCGACAGAGCTCCTCCTTCTTCGACTGTTTCCTTGGTTGCGCCGCCTTCTCCCAAATTATCCTCACCACTGCCCGCTTGCTCATGGCTACTGTCTGCTTGGAAGAGCTCTTGCATAAAATCCTCGACTCT